ATCCACAACCTCATCACCTCAGGTGACCTCCCACCCACAGCCTCCAACCTCATCGTTCCCCAAACCCGCACTGCCCGCTTCTATCTCCTTCCCAAAATCCACAAACCTGAATGCCCTGGTCGACCCATTGTCTCTGCCTGCTCCTGCCCCACCGAACTTATCTCCACCTATCTCGACTCCATTTTCTCCCCCTTGGTCCAGGAACTCCCCACCTGTGTCCGGGACAGCACCCACACCCTCCACCTCCTCCAAAACTTCCGATTCCCTGGCCCTCAACACCTCACCTTCACCATGGATGTCCAATCCCTGTACAATTGCATCCCCCATGCAGATGGCCTAAAAGCCCTCTGCTTCTTCCTCTCCCGCAGGCCTGCCCAGTCCCCCTTCACCGACACCCTTATCCACCTAACCGAACTCATCCTTACCCTTAACAACTTCTCCTTCAACTCCTCCCACTTCCTAAGACTAAGGGGGTGGCCATGGGCACCCGCATGGGTCCAAGCTATGCCTGCCTCTTTGTACGATACATGGAACTGTCCCTCTTCCGCAGCTAGGACTGACCCTATCCCCCACCTCTTCCTCCATTACATCGATAACTGTATCGGTGCCGCCTCATGCTCCCACAAGGAGCTCGAACAGTTCATCTACTTTACTAACATCTTCCACCCCAACCTTAAGTTCACCTGGACCGTGTCTGATACCTCTCTCTCCTTCCTGGATCTCTCTGTTTCCATCTCTGGTAACCACCTCGAAACCAATTTCTATTTCAAGCCCACTTACTCCCACAGCTACCTAGGCTACACCTCCTCTCACCCACCGTCCTGCAAGGATGCGATCCCTACTCCCAATTCCTCCGCCTCCGCCACATCTGCTCCCGAGATGAAGTATTCCACTCCTGGACATCTCAGATGTCCTCGTTTTTCAAGGATTGCAATTTTCCTCCCCCTGGTGGTCGAAAATGCCCTCGACCGTATCTCTTACTTTTCTTGCACCTCAGCCCTCACACCCCCTCCCTGCAATAAAAACAAAGACGGAATTCCCCTGTCCTCATGGATCACCCCATCAACCTCCGGATTCAACGCATCATTCTCCGCCACTTCCGCCACCCGCAATCCGACCCCACTACCAAGGATATATTTCCCTCCCCACCCTTATCTGCCTTCCGGAAGGACCGCTCTCTCCATGACTTCCTCATCCGCTCCACACTACCCTCCAGCCCCACCACCCCCGGCACCTTTCCCCACAACTGCAGGAGGTGCTACACCTGCCCCTACACCTCCCCCCTCACCCCCATCCCAGGCCCCAAGAAAACCTTCTACATAAAACAGATGTTCACCTGCACATCTGCTAATGTGGTCTGTTGTATTCGTTGTTCCCGATGTGGCCTCCTCTACATCGGGGAAACCAAGCGGAGGCTTGGAGACCACTTTGTGGAACACCTACGCTCGATTTGTGACAAATGACAACACCTTCCAGTGGCGAACCACTTCAACTCCCCCTCCCACTCCCTGGACGACATGTCCATCCTGGGCCTCCTCCAGTGCCACAGTGATGCCACCCAAAAACTGGAGGAACAGCACCTCATATTCTGACTTGGAACCCTACAACCCATTGGTCTCAATATGGACTTTACGAGCTTCAAAATCTCCCCACTCCCAACCTCATCCCAAGACCAGCACCCCCTCTTGTCCCTGCCTCCTTGACCTGTCCGTCTTCTCTCCCACTTATCCACTCCTCCCTCCTCACTGACCAACCCCCATTCCAACTCCCTACCTACATTCACCTTTACTAGTTTCATCCCCGCCTCCTTGACTTGTCCGTCTTCTCTCCACCTATCTGCTCCACTATCCACCTTCTATCACTGTCTCCCCCTCTCTCTATTTATTTCAGAACCCCCTTCCCCTCCCCCATTTCTGAAGAAGGGCCCAGACCAGAAACGTCAGCCTTCCTGCTCCTCTGATGCTGCCTGGCCTGCTGTGTTCATCCAGCTCCACACCTTGTTATATCAGACTCCAGCATCAGCAGTTCCTACAATCTCTTAACATGTATCTGTTGCTCTTATCCTGGGTGATAGAGATTGTGAATTTGGAGACTCCAGTCGAAGGAGTCTCTGCGTATGTTGCTGCAGTGCATCTTGTAGCAGTGCACACTGGTGCCACTGTACATCAGTGGCAGATGGAGTGAATATTGAAGGTGGTGGTTTTATTGAAGGTAAAATTTAAGCACACTGTTTTCAGCTGGATGTTATTAAGCTTCTTGAGCTGCAATCACTAGGGCAAGTGAATGATATTCCATCACACTCCTGACTTATACTTTGCAGATGGTGGACAGTCTTTGGAAACTCAGCAGGCAAGTTACATACCATGGAATTCCCAATCTCTGACCTACTCTTGTAACCACAACATTTAAATGGCTGATCCAGTTGAGTTTCTGATCAACCTTAATCGCCAAGATTTTGCTATTGGGGGATTCTGTGATGGTGATGACATTGAATGTCAAAGGGAGATGATTAGATTCTCTCTTGTTGGAGATGATCATTGCCTGGCTCTTGTGTAGTGCAAATGTTATTTGTCACAAGTCCACCCAAGTCTGGATATCATCCAGGTCTTTCTACATACGGGTACGGACTGATTCAGTATTTGAGGAATTGCCGGTGTTGTTGAACATTGTGCAATAATCAGTGAACATCCCCACTTCTGACCTCATGATGGAAAGAAGGTCATTGAGGAAGCAGTTGAAGGGAGCAGGGACCCGGATATTACCCTAAGGAACACCTGTCATAATGACCTGGGATTGAGATGGTTGCCTTGCAATAATCACAACTATCTTTCTTTGTGCTAGATATGACTCCAACAGTAGAGAGTTTTCCCCCAATTCCCTTTAACTCCTGTTTTGCTAGGCCTCCTGATGCCACACTGAGTCAAATACTATCCTGATATCAAGGCCAGACACTCTGGTCACATCACTGGAGTTTGGATCTTTTGTCTAAGTTCTGACCAAGGACGTAATGAGGTCTTTTTGTGCACGGGACATATTTGGGCAATTTTGCACATTGTGAAATAGATGCTAGTGTTGAAACTGTATGGATGAGAGCATGCCTAATTCTGGAGTACATGTTTTCAGTACTTTGCTAAAATATTATCAAGGCCCATAGCTATTACTGTAATCGGTGCCTTCAGCCATTTCTTGACATCAGGTGAAGTGAACTGCATTGTCTGAACACTACCATCTATGATGCTGGGGACCTCAGGAAGAGGATCATCAACTTGACATTTCTGGATGCATTTGTTTCAGACTTAGGTTCTGTGCTGTTACACCAGACTTCCCCATCAGTGATGCTACAGCTACTTGTGGAGGCTCAATACAGAGTGCAGAATACAGTGTTCCAGCCACAGAGAAGGTGCAGAGAAAGAGATCAGAATTAACATTTGAGAGGTCCGTTCAAAAGTCTGATAACAACAGGGAAGAAGCTGTTCTTGTATCTGTTCATACGTATCTTCAAACTTTTATATCTTCTGCCCAACAGCAGAAGGTAGAAGAGAATATAATCAGGATGGGAGGGTCTTTGATTATGTTGGTTGCTTTCCTGAGGCAGTGGGAAGTATAGATGGAGTCAATGGATGGAAGGCTGGTTTGTGTGATGGACTGGACTGTGTTCACGACTCTCTGTAGTTTCTTGCGGTCTTGCCATACGAAACTGTGATACATCCAGATAGGATGCTTTCTACGGTGCAAATATAAAAACTGGTAAGAGTCCTTGCGGACATGCTAAATTGCCTTATGCTCCTAAGGAAGTAGAGACATATTTATTCTTTCTTGACCGTAGTGTTAACATGGATGGACCAGGACAAATTGTTGGTGATCATCATTCCCAGGGACTTGATGCTCTCCACCATCTCCACCTCAGTATCACTGGTGCAGTCAGGGGCATGTTCTCCACTCCACTTTGAATGGGATTTGACGAGGACATTGAGGCATTATAGCTTCATTAATGGTCTTAATGAGCACAGTTTTACATGACTTCTTTATTAATGATTTTAACAAGATCTTGATTAGCATAGTGGTGCATTATCTTCTCCCTAAGAATCTTGTCTATGGAAGAAAGCACCATTTATTCACCTGTTGCTAGCATTCTTGAATCCCCATTGGTGACGTGTTCAGAAAGCAATTTGCTGCTGTTCTCTTCACACATTTTCCGTGCCTTTCCATCCCTTCAAGAAGTTTGTGAAGGCAGGAATTTTGCCTCTTTGTAACAGGTGGACAGAAATTAATTCAGAAACAAATCTATGTTGCACTTAACCTGGAGGCTTCTGTTAATGACACAGAGCAAGTTGTGCAGTCCCCATGGGTGGGCACCATTTGTCAGGGTAGGCAAGATGAACAATGAAGGAAGCAATTACTTGAATGATTTGGGGTAGTAGGAACTGCAGATGCTGGAGAATCTGAGATACCAAGGTGTAGAGCTGGATGAACACAGCAGGCCAAGCAGCATCA